TGGATTGCCAGTTGTCACCTCGGAAGCATAAACTTGTTTATAAATAAATTGGGTTGAATTTATAATATTTACCTTAGGCAACATAGAAATAGGAATATATGTTGCTTAAGTAAACTTTGTTGGATTTATATTTTTATCTTAGGCAACATAGTATAAGAATATATGTTGACTAAGTAAACTTTGACGAATTTCAAAAAAAAAAACAACCAATGTCCAACATTGAACTAAGGCAACATAGACTAGTATGTTGCTTAAGATATATGCACGCAACATAGAATTATTTATATGTTGCCTAAGGTCACACTTAGGCAACATAGAAACATATGTTGCATTAGAGGAAACTTAGGCAACATATAATAGCATTTGTTGTCTTAGCGTATCTAAAGCAACATAGACAATTTACATTTGTTGTCTAAGGCAACATTTGGTGTAGTGTATATCTTGATCTTGAACAATATCAAGGTCTATACTTCTCTATCGACTATTTGAAGGTAAACTTCTTTTCCAAGAAAATGGCTAATTGACCAACAAATACTTGGGATAACCTCCGAATATGCAATTATCAAACTCGGGTTATAACTCATTTAAGATTTAATATCGTATGTAAATCTCACAACCTTAAATATTCATAAAAAAACAACCCGAGACTTGTCTAGTCCATATCTTATGTGGTGCCCTTGTAATTGATGTTGAAAAAAGACGATTTAGTGTGAAAGTGGGTTTGTACAGAGCATAACCCCAAAAGAATGTTGGAAGGTCAAGTTGACTCATCATAAATCATACCATGTCCCATAGAATATGAGCCCTCTCGAATTACATCTTGGAATAATTGGTATCAATGTTATTGTTGTTCTTTGTGCATTTAGCGTGTGAGCTTGGAATCATGGTGGAGTGTTTTAATTTGAATCAACACACACACACATACACAAGAATATGCATGTGGAATTCCCCTTTTGGAGGCTAAAGGCCAAACTATCGGGCGTCACGACAACAAATTGCCGGAATTGGTTGTAGAGCGTCATAGCCTAAAATAGTGAGGGATGCTATACATATTCACCTAGAAGACTTGATCAGAGAACCGAGCAACTCACGCAACAGGCTCAGTTTGCGTTGTCTATCTCTAATGAAGAGTAGAAGCATTAGTTAATTTTTTAGGACTTGCTTCGTTTAGTTCTTCTTCTAGCCTATTCCTTTTATAGACAAAAACTTTTGGTGTGTGATATTTAATGGAGACTTAACCGAATGAATTAGGTTTTAATCGTTGAGAAGGTGAGTTCTCTTTTTAATTCCTCCATTGATAATCAATATAGAAAGCCTGTATTTCCTCCTTGTGGATGTACACTTTTACGCTGATAGTGGAAGCATTTTAATTCGTTGTTTTCATTATCGGTTTTTTTTCGTTTCCTTGTATGGTTACTATTGTTGTGCATTGCCATTTGTTTGAGACGTTGAACACATTTTTGGGTTGTTTTTTGTTTATGCATTTGTTGTTGGGAAGTTAGACGCACATATTGATTAGGGAATTGTGTGCATGAGATATGGAAAATTCCCTAATTACCCTTAGATAGTTGGGAATTTTAATGGTTCATTGCTTGTTAATATGCTTGCACAAGCTCAATGGGAATTTTAGTGCTTTTCAAAAAAAAAATTATTAATCTGGATATCCAACTCGTTATACGAATCGATTAATCATATGACGACCACCTGTTTTGTAGATAGCTCGCAGTCACCGCATTTTAACCTCCGTAGTCACAAGGGAATTTTTATTCCTTCTAGGTTTTGAACCTGAGACCTCCTGGTACTTTTGACCTTTGGAAGTCAAGCTCAAATCAATCAGACACCACCGGTTTGTTTTTCGATTCTTGTGTATTTAATTAAATAATCAAATTAATATTAATCTCCCAATGAAAATATAACTACGATCGTCAACCCCCTGGTTTATCTCTCTTCCACTTGCCTCCCTCCCTCTCTCGTAACCTCTCATTCGTCAAGAACAAAACCATCATTTTGCTCCCAAAAAAGAAAGACAAATTTTGAAACGAATTCAATAATCAGGAATAATCCGTTGAGTTTTTCAAGAAATGTGTGAAAATGGAGCGAAGAATGGTATCCATGAACTGGGATCAGTTAGACGACTTGGATGACGACGATGAATTCTATGAAAGCACCAACCGGATCTCGGCTGTTGTTCCTCTTGACGTCCCTTTATCAGAATTTGATTACAATGGAGAAGATGATCAAGAATTTGATGATAGTCGTGTATCTTTCTCCAACAACGTTTCCTGCAAGGAGATTCAAAACGTCACGGTGGCTGCCGCTGCCGCCTCCTCCCCTCAATACGAGATGTGGATGATGGCACCGGGTTCCATCACCGACCGCCGACGGAAGCTTCTCCAAGGAATGGGGTTAAACAGCAACAAGGACTTTGCTAGGATATCTACAACCAAACTTAACAAAGCAATGACGAAAAGACTGGCTTCCAGACTACCCGCTGTTAGTTCTCAAGACGTAAATATAGAAAACCAGAAAACCATTTCACGGACGTCCGTGGAAAAAGAATCTTCAACTAATTTGGAAGGATTGAATAAAGAAGAGCAGAAGCAACCCCAGTTGCAGCCTCAGCCTCAGCCTCATCCTAAACCGCAACCGTCTAAACCTCAACCACAGCAGAAACCTAATCCTCAACCTCAACCTCAACCTCAACCTCAACCTCAACCTCAACCTCAACTTGAGTCTCAACCCAAACCTGAACCGCAGGCTCAGGCTCAGGCTCCGGCTCCAGCTCAAAATCAGGATCAGGCCCAACCTTCCTCCTCATGTCCTGTATTGGTAGTTCGTTGTAGATCAGATAGCGATATAGATACAAGTTCCTTCAACACGAAACGACGAAAAGAGGAAATGATCGGGTCAATATCGAAACATCGCCTGACCAGAACTTCATCTGAATTGATCGCACCATCGGTTGGATTATCATGCCAGTATGCCAACGTTCTTAGAGTTTGCACCGAGTTACCCAAGAAGCCTTCTTCAGTTGCTGCCATAAAAAAGAAAAACGCCCATCAACCTACCTCCAGTGAACGATTCGATTCTTTCTTCTTGATCAAGAACTTGGATACTGGGAAGGAATTCATAGTTAAAGAGTACAATGAAGAAGGGGTATGGAATAAGGTGAGCGATCTTCAAACTGGGAAGCAACTCACGATGGATGAATTTGAGAAAACCGTCGGCCATTCTCCGGTGGTGAAGGAATTAATGCGGCGAGCTAGCCGGAAAAGGAACAGCAATTCCAGCAAACTGGCCTCCACGAACTCGTATCTCAGCAAGAGCTTTAGAAATGGCAAGAAAAAAGGGGCTGCGATATTAAAGAATTTAAAAAGTTCAGTGAGTGGATCGTCGAAAACAGAAAAAGAAAAGGATAATAGTGTCACAACTTCTACAACCGATTCTTCATCATCATCTTCACAAACCACCGGAGAAAAAAAAACCACCGGAGAAAAGAAAACCAGCGGAGAACAGAAACCCACCGAAGAACAGAAACCCACCGGAGAAAAGAAATCCACCGGAGAACAGAAAAAACAAAAAACAAGCGAAGAACAGAAAACCACTGCAGAAAACAAATCCATCGGAGAACAGAAAAAACAAAAAACTAGCAAAGAACAGAAAACCACTGTAGAAAAGAAAACCAGCGGAGAGCAGAAAACAGGCGGAGGAAACAAAACGTCCACCGACAAGAACTCAACGTCAGAATGGGTGAAAGCTAGAGCCCATGGAAAACCCGTTAAGGAATTCTCAGCATTGCATTTATGTCAAGAAATACAGGCTCATGATGGACCAATTTGGACGATGAGATTTAGCATTGATGGTTTGTATCTGGCAACCGCCGGTGAAGATAAGGTTATCCATGTTTGGGAAGTGCAAGAATGCGACGTAATGTCAATGCGGCCAGCTGGAGATGATAAAAGTTCAGGTGTTTCTTCTGATAACAAACCACCATTACCGGATAATTCAGCCATGGCGGCCACAGAGAAGAAGAAGAAAGGGAAGAACAGTAAGAAAAAAGGGGAGGTTCCTGATTATGCAAAGGTACCGGAAGCTATGTTTGGGCTGTCGGAAAAACCAGTCTGCACTTTCGAAGGCCACCAAGAAGATGTCTTGGACCTATCATGGTCAAGATCTCAGGTCAGTTTTCCCTTCAACATGAACATTACCCTTCTGTTTACCTATATATGTATAATGTTAACATAAAAATCAAGATTTCTGTGATCATGGGCAGCTGCTGCTTTCATCCTCAATGGACAAAACTGTAAGGCTATGGGATATCGAAACCAAGAATTGTTTGAAACAATTTGCACACAGAGATTATGGTATGTACGTGTACATAATTGACTTCTAAGCAATTCAATACAACAAAATCCGTTTTTATAGCTCGACAAATATGTCTAAATGTTACAATATACTGTTTTGTAGGACTTATCATGGTGATTTCTATGCAATTGTTTTATATGTCCCATTTATCTGATGAGGGATTATGTTTGTGGCAGTGACTTGCATACAGTTCAATCCAACAGATGAAGATTACTTCATAAGTGGTTCACTTGATACTAAGATTAGATTATGGAGTATACCAGGTCGGAAAGTCATAGACTGGAGTGATCTTCATGACATGATAACCTCTCTATCATACTCTCCTGATGGACAGGTATAAAATCGGGTTTTATAAGACACGAATGTTTTAATAGACTGTAAAACAAATGGGATCTAACGGTATTTTCAAATCGTTAGTTAACATCCAATGAATCTATAGATTCAGCTAGTATTGACGTTCTTGTGTTGTTCTACAATTGAAGGGTGCCATTGTTGGATTACACAAAGGGAGCTGCAAATCATATAGTACTATTGGTACGTACTATTAATTCCTTCATCAACTATGATCTTCGATCATCAAGTTCTTCGCTCAACAAGAGTGTTTTTCTATTGTGTTGTAGATTGTAAGCTCGAGGAGAACGATCAACTTCAATTGCATACCAAACCAAAGGCGGAGCCCAAAAAGATAACGGGTTTTCAGGTGGCATTTCGTTTGATGCTAATCTATTGTTCATAACGTAAATAAGATGATTACTCTATAATCTATCTAATCTTGTGACTTGTAGTTTTCTCCGACTAACCCATCCGAAGTGCTAGTCACTTCAGCGGACTCCCGTATCAGAATTCTAGATGGATCACACATCATCAATAAACTCATAGGTATGATCACCTTTTAACTCTCTTTCATATTATTACAACAAAATCGGTTTTATAAAAGTTCAAAGTTGATATATTGTTTTTAGGCATTATTTTTCAAATAACTAGTTGTGTACCCGCGCAATGCGGCGGGAGCCGTGAATTTTAACGATTTTAAAGTTTTACTAGTTTTATTAAAAAAAGATTTAACGATGATATACCTTGATCATTAGATTTTCAAGTTTAATATAATTGAAGTACTCCTACACACAGGTTACAAAAATACTAGCAGCCAATTCTCAGCTCAATATAGTGCAGATGGGAGGTACATAATGTGCGCTAGTGAAGACTCTCAAGTATACATTTGGAAGCATGAAAAACCAAAAAATGTCGGTGCTGCGAAACCCAAATCCGTAACAACTACTTCTTATGAACACTTCCCTTGTACAGAAGTTACGGTCGTGCAACCATGGCACGGAAGTAGCAAGTTCCAACGGTTAAACAACGAAACACAATCTAAAGGACACTCAAAAAGGTCTGGTCGACTGGATCCCACCGTTGAGGACTCAGAACCGCCTTCTGATGCAAGCGTTGCCGCTAGCGAGTGCGGCGACGCTTCGTCACAGTCGGACAGTGGTCGCCATGGCAATAGTAACAATGTTCAATCGACAGCGTGGGGATTGGTGATTGTGACTGCCGCAGCGGGTGGTGAGATTAGGGTTTATCAGAATGTTGGATTGCCTGTTAAAGTTGGCCTTCAAACGAATCTCTTCTAAAGACCTCCCATAATTCTAACTTTTGGTAGATTTAGAACTCATGTAGTCATATTGAGTGAAGGTGTTGATACAGGGTTATCTGGTGTATGCCCTCCATATATTAGTGTACATTATTAAATTAGTCTAATTAATTTGAATACTTTAGTTCACTATTTTTGACCTACATTGAGCAGTATTTCAAATTTCAGTCCTAATTGCTAGCTATCAGCATATATACAACCCCCGGGGGATTTATGTCAGAATCAGATCATTTAAGCATTGAAAATGTAAAAAACATATATTAATGTTGATGCATGTAAGGAATAAATTCATGGATAGAAGTGCATTAAGCAATGCATAAGCATGCATTTAGCTCACCCCTATACAAAGGCTGGTGGATTTAGACCCCAGATGTTTAGAAATTATACCCCACCAAAATACCTCATCAAAAAATAATAATTACTTAATTATTATCAATTACTTTTTATTTTTCTTATTTTATTTAATTATAATTATTATTCAATAATTTTTATATTTTCTCAAAACAAGTATTATATATTATTATTATTACTACGATTAAGTAATATTTATTAATAATAAATATATTATTATTAAAACTTTCCTTTTTAATTGTTATTATTAAAATTAGACCATTTATCTTTACACATAACTACAAATTCAATTATTCAAATTTTAAAATATAAGTTGTTAGTAATAAACAAATCAACAGTTTTAATGCTTCAATTAATTTTCAATTAGATTTCAGATTTAAAAATTTAAATAATAAAATAAGCAAATTAATATATCTTTAATTAATCAAAATTGCTTAAAGATATGTTATATTAAACTTTAAGCAACATATGTTATATTTCAATTAGATTTTAGATTTAATTTATCTCCGTAGGCAACATAAATGGTAAATAATTTATCTCCTACGATTAATCACTACGACTCTTCATCTTTTGAAATCGGCTAATTACATCTCCATTCATGATATTGATAAACATACTTTCTTTATAATGCCACAAATGACCAAATCATTCAAAACTTCATCGTGCGGCTAGTCGCCCACGTTTTCTAGGCGGATCCGGCTTCCTCTTCAACACTGATATCTCAATTTTATTTCCTTATTAACTATCTTAATTATGTTATTTTCATAATTAGTTTATGGTTAGGATATTTTCCATAGTTATCTTCTTAACCTAGCCTGTAAATAGGTTCCATTGTTTTCCATAGGAATTAGATTATTCATTATAAATAGAGTTTTTCTCTTTGGGAGTAATTCTTCGAGTTTAACTATTCGTAACTCCCAACTGTTAAAAGATCTAGACATTTATCGATCTTTTCGTACTTCCTATTGTGTCAGTTGGTATCAGAGTATGATTCCTCTGTCCTTTTCACTGACCATGGCAGATCAACAATCGTTCACCAAAGCAGATATAGCCAAGATGGTTGTGGCCATTACCGCAACTTTAGCTTATCTGATAGTGCCTTTTAATCGAAACTATGTTCAACCCAACAACGACACTCACCCGAGGAAGGAAAGACGTGAAAATCGGTAACTGTAAGGGTTTCGCCCGACAATCATCGTAACTGGATCAACCTTTCAAGTTTCCAATCTAAAGAGGAGGAGGAAGTCGAACCCTCAAGCCCAAGAGGAAATGATCACGACTACTAAATGAAGATGGACATCCCGTTTTTCTATGGAACCATGAGAGTAAAGGAACTGAATTGGCAAATCGAAGTGGATCAGTTCTTTGACATCATGGAGGTCCTTGAGAATTGTTAGCTCTCATTTCTTTTAAATGTAAAAGTATGGAAAAAGTAAATACTGCAAGTGTTGACAGAAGAGGTTCCACCACAGAAGACCACAGAGGACCAACAACAGAAGATGTTCTATCGTACAAGTGAAGTGTGACAGAACCTCTGTTGTCTATCACAGAGGTTCTGGAAACTGGTCCTCTGTAATCAAAGCATACAAGTCAAAGATGACAGAACCTCTGTTGTCTATCACAGAGGTTCTGGAAGATGATCCTCTGGAATCAAGTGCTCTCAAGTCACATCCAGCAGAGCCTCTGGGATGGCTCACAGAGGGTCTGCAGCTTTATCTTCTGTGAAGAACTTCTTTACTGTTTTACTTAGGTTAGTTAGCTGCTCGTGCTTATCACGTGACTGTTTGTAATCTGCTTTATTTGAACGGCTTAGATGAATTTGTACGTCTAGGTCATGTCAGAAAAGCCGTTAGGAACGAGTATAAATAGCAGCTTAGGCCTTTGTAATTCGGTGTGCTTCCATATCGTATTGTAAATATTTTCAATCAATTGAAAATCATTTGAAGCTTCTCTCTCGTGTTCTTCATTCATCAACTGTGTTCTTCATTGATTATTACTCTGTTTGTTCTTATTGCTTCCGCTGCACTAATATTGTCAAATAGATCATCCAGAGTAGGTGATTAATATCCAAAACTGAGTTAATCGATCCTATCAATTGGTATCAGAGCAGGAATCAAATTCTAATTTGATTTATTCTGTTCTTGGTATTAATCTTCATACGCTCAAGAACACCAGTCTTCTTCTTCAGGTTACCATGTTGTTCACTATTTCATCAGTTTTCTTCTTATTCCTATTTTTCTTCTTCTACCAATGGCGAATCTGGCCAATGCTTCCTTTATGAGCACTGGTTCACAATCGAAACCTCCCACGCTCATACGTTAGGAGTACCCACAGTGGAAAGTTCGAATGGTAAATTTTCTGGAAGGCATTCATCCACGAATTTGTGAATTTCTCTACAATCCTTCCTATGTTCCCATGAATTTAATTCCTAGAGTTCCAACAACTGGAACAACACCAGAAATTCCCGAGCACTATGAACCACGTCCTGAGGTAAACTGGAGCGATGAGGACAAAATCATGGTCGAGTTGGGAAGTAAATGTAAACGATTGTTGATTATGGCTATTCCGAATGAAATCTTCAAGTGCATTGATCATTATCAACTGTCCATGGACATCTGGGCAGAACTGGAGAAGCAAATTGAAGGAGGAAGGAAAACTCTTAAAAACAATCGATCAATCTGTATCGATGAGTATCATAGCTTCAAGGCAAAAGACGGTGAGTCGCTGCCTGACACATACTCGAGACTGAACACGTTAATCAGCAATTGCAAGAGGTATGGTGTCACGAGAACGGCAGAAGAGAATAACTCATTATTCTTGAAAAGCCTTGGGGTTGAATGGATGCATCTCACAATGTCCATGAAAGCCACCCTAGACCTGGAATTGTGGACTCTAGCAGACCTGTTTGGCTCTCTTAAGAGCCAAGAGCCACAAGTTCTGCAGATGAAGAAGAACTACGATGGCCCTCTGGCTCTAGTCGCAGAAGATGGATGTTCTGGGAAGGGGAAGGATGCACAAAAGGAAGAGAAGGAGAAGAAGATGAAGAAGAAGAAGGTTTTGATTGCAGAGAGTGATGACAGCTCTGAGGAAGAAGTCTCTATGAAGGAGATGATGAAAACTCTTGCCTTGATCACTAGAGAGTTCAGGAAGGGTGGAGAGATGAAAGAGTTTAAAAGTTTCAATCAAAGAAACTTCACAGAGGGAGAGAGATATGAGAAAAGAAAGAAGGAACAGAAGCCCTTGCAGAGGATTGAAGAGCAAAGGAAGGAAGAGCCTAAAGATGGCTGCTTCAAATGTGGCAAACCAGGCCACTTTGCTGCAGACTGCTGGTCTAAAGGGCCAAGGGCACCGCAGAGGGGTCCTAAAGATGCAGCCTTCTATAAAAAGAAGGCTGAATACTATCAG